TGAAAATAAATTACAGCATTATAATATATTATTAATTCTTTAAAATAAAATATATCAATTCAATATTTATTAACAGAGAAAAGATACCTATGTTGCCTACATAAACAATTCCTCGTGGTCACAGAAATGTTTTGTAAAATTGAATCAACATCTTTGATGTGGAGAGGAGCAGAAAGGTATCACCCTGGGGCATGTTTTTCTTGTTTAATAAGAGTTTGATAAATAAAAGTCCAGGAGTGGGCAGGCATTGTATGGACTGAGCTGATTCCATTTCCAAGAACCCCACATTTCAGCCAGAGCACATGCAATGCTCACCACAGTAGCAGCTAGAAAAGAGATAGGTGGGGCTGTTAGTCATGAATGAACATATGTGTTGGGCATACTGGCTAAAAGCAAAATTCTGTTGTGTGCCTGTCTACCCAACGACCTCCTGAGTTGCAATGACCAGCTGCTAGCCTAAGCTCCAAATACAGCAAGACTATTAATCTCTTGGTGCTAGAATTCCTTTATAGGGTATTTAGTTTTCTATACAATGAAGACATGAAGCAAAAATTGTAGAAGAAGGTCATCGGGTATCTGTGAAATGTTCCAGCTTCAATTCTATTACTTAGTTCCCTGACTCATGTATTCTGGCTAAAAGAAGAACTGCCTCATTTATTGAGCTGGTTCACAGAATATTCTTAATCTTACAGGCAGCACTTTATATTGAAAGCATTTCTTTAACTGGAGGTACAAATGAACTATATTAGATCATTGCACTATTCTGTAAGGCCAGCTGCTTCTGGGTATTGGATATCACATGACAAGATCAGTGATTCTCATCTGCAATAACCCATTATCTAACATGGGTTCCTTGGTTAGAAGCAATGTTGTGCAAGATGCTGTGACCATTTATAAGGCTTCCAGTAAGTGCCCAGATGATGGCTTTAGCAAAGCCAAAAAAAAAAAAAAAATCACACATTATAGTAGCAAGAATGAATTCTGTCAGTGAGGCACACACATCCGTTACCTAATCTGAACTCTACAAAGTCTCCCAACAAGGACCCTGAGTGCTGACTGTGAGCAGTGTGGACCCAAGTGAATCTGAATGTTAGCTGCATTCTCCAGATATGATCCCAAATACTGTACAATGAGATTATGACCACACAGCAATCCTCCCCAGGAAGACTGTCTGAAGTTTTGGACTTAATATAATATAAACCCAGTATTGTCTTATCTACTTTAAATATAAACTTTTCCATGTGCATCCCAAAGAATCAGATTTTTCAATCAGCTGCAGGGGGTGGCAGATTCTCACCAATTTTGCTTTCAACTAATATTTTTGAAACAAGAGAAATAAACTCTTGAGAACAAATAAGTTGTTAGGTTCTTGGGCAATTCAAGCTGCAAAGTCCCAAGAAAATAATACCAAGTGTGGTAAAAAGGACCATCATTCTCAGCAAACTGACACAAGAACAGAAAATCAAACACCACATGTTCTCACTCATAGGTGGGTGTTGAACAATGAGAACACATGGACACAGGGAGGGGAGCATCACACACTGGGTCTGTCGGGGGAAATAGCAGAGGGACAGCAGGGGGTGGGGAGTTGGGGAGAGATAGCATGGGGAGAAATGCCAGATATAGGTGATTGGGAGGAAGGCAGCAAATCACACTTCCATGTGTGTACCTATGCAACAATCTTGTATGTTCTTCACATGTACCCCAAAACCTAAAATACAATTTTAAAAAAATGACTCCTAAGATTCCTGCATACACACACATCCTCCAATCAAACACTAATGTAGGTGTTGCAGTGAAGGTATTTTGCAGATGTAATTAAAGTCCCAAATCAATTAATTTAAAGATAGAGACACTATGCAGTTGAGCCATAAGCATTTGAAAGCAATTTTCTCTGGCTAACAGCAAAATAGGACGTTGGAGATGTGAAGTATGACCAGGATTTAATGTGTTGTTATTGGCTTAGGGATTGAGGAGACTATCTTTAAAAGACTATGGACAGCCAGACGGCAAAAACACAGGGACCCCAGTCCTACAACCACAAGGAACTGAGATTTTCCGATAACAAGATTGAGCTTGGAGGTGTGTATTTCCCCAAAGCTTCTGGGTAAAATTCAGCCTAGTCAACACCTTGATTTCAGCTTTGTGAGACCATGAGCAGACAATCCATCCACACCATGCTGGTGTTCTGACCTGCAAAATCATGAGCTAATAAATGAATGTTTTCAGCAGCTGTGCCTGTGGTCATTAGTTACATAGCATAAAAAACTGATATACATTTGATGTGACTGTCACTTATATACCTCAATAAATATTTTGCAAATGATACTACCTTTGCTCAGAAATTACTCCTTAAGTAAAAAGAGCAAAAATGTCATCAAATATTCCAGGAAAATAGATCTGAATTGAAAGTCCAAATTCATGAAACCTATGTCAGCAGTTGACTGTGCCAATTCTATTGGTAGGGATTGGCTGCTGTTGGTACCACTGCAAGCAAAAAATTACTTACTCCCATAGAAATGCATTAAAATTTCTCGTTTTGCCTTGAGTTCACTCTGATAATCACAGTGGATGCAGCTAAACAAACTGGAGAAAACTTCATTAGTAATTATTAAGCATTTCAAGGGAAAGTTCCCATGATACACACAATGTTCAACAGACAGAGGCTGAGTTCCAACAGCAAGTACGTCTATAAATCAAAAAAAAATCCCATGAGTTGGTGGAGTGGTAATAGAGAAAGCAGTGTGAATTACTGTTTAACGGGAATATTGAATCCTTAAATGAACTGTACGCTCTCATTTTTAATGGGAGCAAGCAGTAGCCAGGCATAATAAAAATAATTGAAATGAGGGTTTAGATCCATTAATCTACTGAAAAGTGCCTTAAAAAATAAGTGAGGCAGAAAAACAGCCAAATGTGGATGACAACTTCCCGATAGATGTCATTTGTGCCTAATGGTCTCCGTGGCCGTCAATAAAAGAGTGAATGGTATAGATGATGGCAAGTAAAAGTTTAAGACAAATTCTTCTCTAAAAAAAGGACCTAATGGAGACTAGGAAGGGTGATGGATGGAGCAAATATGCCTCCCCGTTGCTTCATTGGAAAATAAGAATGAATCATTATATCCACATAATACATATAATTAATGAAGTTGGAGGAGTCCAATTGAATGCACAAAACTCATTTTTTCACCTCTCTCTCTCCTGTCATGTATGTTATGTGAGATAATGTCTGAATCAGTCTTGCAAGGAACATTAGTGATTGCCACAGATTTTATCTGAGTCCTTTTCCTGAGGTCTGAAAGTATGTGCCCTCCCACCATATATTAGTCCATTCTCGCATTACTATTAAAAAATACCTTGGACTGGGCAATTTATTTAAAAACAAAAAAGGTTTAATTGACTTATGGTTCCACAGACTCTACAGGAAGCATGGCTGAGAGGGCCTCAGGAATCTACAATCATGATGGAAGATGAAGGGGACACAGGCACATCTTTCATGGCTAGAAAAGAAGGAAAAAGAAAAGGAGGAGGTGCCACACAATTTTAAACAACAAGATGTCATGAGAACTCACCCACTATCATGAGAACAGCAAGGAGGAAATCCACCTTCATGATCTCATCACCTACCACTAGACCTCCAGGCCCTTCCTCCAACATTGGGGATTACAATTTGACATGAGATTTGGGGTGGGATACAGAGCCAAATCATATCACACCATATTTAGAGGTTTAACAAACTACCAGAAAAAGGCACAAGGAATTTGCCTTCATACAAGATGCAGGTGGGTAATGTGAAAAGCAGGATGGCATGCATTTTTTCATGTTTCAGGAGCTGAATTTGACAACTAGAAGCCCATGTTGGACCACTGGTGAGGGTCACTATGTTTCAGAATGACCCACAGTCTACAATCTTTGATCCCCTATTTACATCAGCATGATACATAATAAGCTGTTGATATTGGGAAGGTGATGGCATTTACATGACAAAATGATTACTTAATGCAGTTATGCCATCATCACTATGCAGAGATGTATGTAAATATTGAATTATGCTTTTTGTAATTATTCCTTAGAAGCACACATTTAGACCATCCTATGACAGTTCTCAGGAAATAAATTGTCACCAGAACTATATTGTAAACTATAATTCAGGCTCCAATCCCCTCATGTAGCTTCAAATAAATCTCAATCTGTGCGTAAAGACTTGCCTAGTGGAGAGAAAACAGATCTCAAGTTTCCTGAAGTCTACCCAAGATAGGTTGGACTTAAGAAGAGAATGAAATAGAGAATCACACGTATAGAAACAATCACATTGCTCTTTATTTTGTAAATTAGATGCAAATTTTGATTTCTCAGAGCACACTAATGTGTTTGAGAATTTCCAAAAGGAGAAAACATTCTTTCTTTCATTCTCTCAATTATTCATGAGTTTCTTCTTCATAGAATGCCTAGAAATGGTTGGGCCACTTCCTGAGCACTGGTGGCATTATTTAATCCAATTGTAAATCCTCACTGAGGGTTTTTTATGTGCCAAGAACTCTATACAGATGAGTTATATAAATTCCTGTACAGAAGACAGAACACAAACCCACTATATTATTATATACTATAACATATATACATATATTATCATGCAATATACTTTAAATATACCATGCATGATAATGTAAAATATTCCAAGTTAGAGTATCAGTCTGTTTCAACTGCTATAACAAAATACCTTAGACAAAATACCTTATCTTTAAATAAAAGAAATTTGTTTCCCAGAGTTCTAGGGGTTTTGAAGTCCAAGCTCCAGGTGCAAGCAGATTCAGTGTCTGATGAGATCTCACGCTCTGCTTCCAAGATGGTGCCTTCTTTCTATATTCTCACATCCAAGAAGAGAGGAACACTGTGTCCTTAAATGTAAGAAGGGCAGAAAGGGCCAAGGAGACTCCCTCAAGCCCTTTTATAAGGGCACTAATCCCATTTGTAAGGGCAGAGCCTTCATGACCTCATCACCTCCAAAGGCCCTGCCTCTTAATACTATTGCACTGTGTATTAACTTTCAACATAAATTTTGGAGGACACAAAAACACTCAAACCATAGTAGCTGAGAAAGTTGAGTTCCAGCTTTCAAGAAACTCACCATCTAAAAGGAGCAGATAACACACAGGTCAAACATTAGTCTAAAATGTATAAAGGATAAAATATATGTGTGCAACAGGTATAATGGGAGCCCCTAAACTTCTCCATCAACTTAAAACTTTTCATGGAAGGAATCATTTTATGAAATGTGGGAAAAGTCATTCAAAGTAGTGAAGACCCAGGCAAAGTTAAATATGACCTGTTGGAGAAAACACAAGAATTTTAATTCTTGAAGTAAAATAAGTAATGGAAACATGTCTTCAGGTGAAGTCAGAAAGTAAGCTGAAAGTTTTGGTGGCAAGACTAAGGAATTTGACCCTCACTCTAACATTCACAGAAGCCATTGCAGGGTTCCTAGCCAAAAAAGTGACCAGCTTATCTTGGTTTCCCTGGACTCTCTAGTTTTAGAACTGAATGCTCACATCCTCAGAACACCTTAGACTTGAGCAACTGAAGATGACTGGTCACAGTAGACATAAGAAGATGGTGTCTCTCAATCTCAGAAATGCATTCTAATGACAACTGAGAATTGAACTGGGTTCCAGCTCTGGGATTCTATAGTAGCAATTATGGCAATGTAATGTTTGCATGGATATAAGTCAATGGGTGTGGAAACAATAAGAATGGAATGAAGTCAAGAGAGATCAAGACAAAGCCAACAGACATTGGAGGCTAAATCAGATATTTTGAGAGGTGAGAGGAAAAGAGAAATGATAATTATGGCTCTCTGTTTCTGGTTTGAGGGAAATGGTGGACATTTACTGAGTGTGCCCAGATAAAGATTACAGGGATATACCTCTGCTATTTCCCAGAAAGCAGCATTAAAGGCAGTGGATGTGCATATACTAATCTATTATTAGGGGTCCAAACCCAGAGATAGGAGTAAGGAGCAAGAAGAGTGAGAAAAAACTGTAGGAGAGTTTATGCATTGATGGCCCTGGGTGCTGCTAGTTGGCCAGTCTGCAGGAAAACGCCACTGAGATGCATGCAACATGCCTTGGAACCACATCCTTGGAATAGAAGAAAGCAGCAATAAACTATTGACTTGCTTCTTCTATTGGTTAAAGTTTTGCTCCATAAGGCATTAACTTCTTGGACTTCCTGGTAGCACTTACATAGACAAGGCAGTACACCATGCCCTCTGTGTGGTCACTTGGCATAGTGTCCTTCAACATCAGAACAGTGATAAACTTCCAAGCACAGATGACTCCTATTGACCAAAAAAGACAACAAACAACAATTACAATGCATGTCAATACATGCTTATCATTCACTGGACCATTAATTTATCTCACCAATGACCAGGAGACTGGTTACAGTAATTGATGAGCTGTTTTTTCAGTGCTGAAGTCTCTGCTGATTATAAATGTTCAATTAATCAACATCAATACTGTGTATGGGAATATGCTTTGCAAGAATTTTCTCTGGTCCATGGACCCGGGCTCTGCAACTTTTTAAGGATAAAGCTCCCAATGCATCCTCCAAGGTAGGACAGGTATAGAAGGAAAAAAAGTAGGTGAATCTTTCACAGGTTTTGTTGTGTTATTGTGGACAGCAGGAGAAGTAAATCATAACTTAGGGATCCTTTCTTAAACTTGGGAAAACACTTGAGAAAGACACTTTTACACTCAGGGTTAAATGGCACCCTTAAATGTAAATCATGTTCAAGTGTAAATTACCTACATCCATCATGGTTATTGTAGCAATCAGTCAAAACCAACTCTAGCTAATTTAAACTAAAAGGAATAGATTAAATAATAAAGAACAGGTTTTCTGAACCTCAACACTATTGATATTTAGGCTATACAATTCTTTATTGCAAGAGGCTGTTCTATGCATTATAGGATATTTATCCAGATGAGGAAAGTAAAACAGTTTTTCTTCCTACCCAGCCAGTTGAGACAAACAAAAATGTCTTCAGATAGTGTCAAATGTTCCCTCAAGAGAAAAACCACCCCAGTTGAGAAATATTGATAGCTCAAAATATTGCCATGAAAAGGGAGAGGAATGAAGATCAATAAATAGCTGAGCCACATCCAAAATCGGTTCTAGAGCCATCTGGTTAGTACAGTAATCCAGACACCAAGATTTATTGCCAAATACCATGGACTACAGCATTGCTAATGCCCCCACAGTCTTATCATTGCCCTACTCTCACCCTGTCTCTGCATATGTGGCTACCTCTGGTCACCTCCACAATGATCTGTCAAGATTCTCTACCATCCCTTAATATTAGAGTCATCCTGTCATGGAACAAAATGTTGTTGAGTGGATGGTAGCAGAATGCTTAAAAGGTAGAGAGTTAGGGCATTTAATTTAACGTCTATAAGGTATGTGAGTGTGTGTGTGTGTGTGTGTATGTGTGTGTGTGTGTGTTTGACATAGGAAGATGGGTGAAGAAGCAAGAATGACTAGGATGAAGATAACACTAAGGGAAAAAAGTCTGGAAACCTACTCGAGTAACTTTGTAACTTAGAGCCATAAAATCTGACAATTTTAAGTTCAGAAGGCTCCAGTATGACTTCAGATGCAGGAATAATGTCTCCTGGCAGATACTTATTGGTAGACATTCATGCATGAGCAAAGATCTGTACATTTTGTGATATTCCCATATGTTCATACATGTCTGTACTCTAGATATCCAGGTCTCTGTCAAGTATAAGTTCCCAATGCATCCTTCAATCTCTTTTTTTCCATGCTTTTCATGAGTCAACAGGCTATTCTCAATTACCCATGAGCCCATATATATTCCAACCTCAGGACTTCTCTCTGCACTAGGTGGATGGTCAGGTGATCTACCTAAAGGCTTTCCAACTGGGAGAATCTTTTTTTCTCCACTGGTTTTTTAAAGCCACTCTTGGGTAAGGATGTAGTGCAGCTATTGCACATTCTTACTTCCCACCAAAATCATGCATCCAAAAAATGAGTTTGGGCTTCTTCTCTTTTCCAGTTGGTCATAGAGTACTCCTACCCCAAACAGCCATTTGCTGTGAGTGAAGGGATAAGCATTTATGCATTATTTGGGGAAAGTCACATGAGGGTCTAGGTTACCTTCTCGTGCAGCTTATGGCATAGTGGTACCACTTCCAACTCCAAGTGGATTGCTGCTGAATCAATCTGACTTTGGGTATCAGTGTGTCTAACAGGCCCCAACTCTTTTTGAGTGGTCTGAACTCATGGTCACTTGACACTCCCCAGTGAAATGCCTAGTATCTACCAGAATGCATTGCCACATCAGGAGGTGAAACCTAAATTGTGTGCTGGACTGAATTGTGTCACACACCAAATTTATATGTTGAAGCTTCCTAACACCCAGGACTTCAGAATGTGACTGTATTTGGAGATGGGGCCTTTAAAGAGGTGATGAAGGTAAAATAAGGTCATGTGGGTGTACCCTAATCCAATGTGAGTAGTGTTTTCTTACAAAACAAGGGGATTAGGACACAGACACACACACGTGACCACGGGAGGACACAGGGAGAAGACGTCTGCCTTACAAAGAAAGGACAGAAGCCTTAGGAGGAATCAACCCCGCTGACACCTTGGTCTTGGACTTCTGGTCTCCAGGACTATGAGAAAATAAGTGTGTGTTCTTTAAGCCACCCGTTCTGCTGTCCTCCATTAAGGAAGCTTGAGAAAACTAATTCAAATAATGCATACCTCTCCTGCGAATGGTGAGGCCTTGCTCAACAACCCTAGACACCTGTATTGTGACTCTCTCAACATGGCTTGCCATAGACTCTACATAGCATCCTTTCCCTCCACTGACACCTCCAACACCATAGGGCTTGCCAGATTATTTTAGCTAAGCAGGAGGGTTTTTTCATCAAAGACTGGACAATTTCAGAGCTCTTTTCTGCTGTGAGTCCCTACAAACTGGACACCTTCTTTGTCACCCAGCACATGGGCCAAGGCATAAGATTACAGCACCTGTTTCTGTGTTATTTCCAAAACCCAAAAAGGGCCATCAGGTTTTGTGCTGCCTTTTACATGGTGAGATATTCAAGAAGCCACAATTTGTTTTCTACCTCAGATAGGACGCCTGAAACCCTAAAATATTTTCCTGAAATGGCAGACCCCTGAATCCTTACACACTCCATGAAATATATTTTACCAAAGTTCCCAGTATACTGACCATCTCTTGCACATCCTGCCTGATCAATCTGCTGTCATCAATATAATAATTTGACGTGATTTTCTGATGGTCCGATTTCTTTTGTCTTTTTAATTGTAGGGTGTCTTCCCAAGGACCCCAGTATCTCTTCAACTATTAGGTTCCAGTCCTGAAAACAAGCTCAGTCCTGGAAACAAAGAAGGGCCTGTAGCTACCATGGAAAAGAGTGCCTGTTCTCAGCCTCATTGTTTTCTATCATAATTCGTTTTACTGGCACAGGCAGAAAACTTCCTCTGTTAGATGTCCACACAGTTTGCTCCATACACATGTACATGCCTGTGATCTTCATGATGTGTGGCCTGAAGATCAAAAGGAGAGGCAGGGACACACACTGAGGGGGCACCTGTTGCCTTGTGGGGAAGCAACCTCTACCTTGTCTTCTATCACAGAGGTACATCAGCTCTTACTGGTGAAATTGGTTCCTTGTGCAGACCCAGAAATTTTAGGCAAGTCTGGGCAGGCAATTCACCCAAATGTCTCTATTCCATGTGTCAGGGTCCCAAGTCTTCAAAACCAATGTCCTGACCTTGGTCTTAGAGATGGGCTTTGATTGGGGCATTTAACTTTCTTTGAAGTTCAGCCAGTTTTACTATTGGATCCTTGAGGTGGTCTTGGTTTTTCTGCCTTCTCCTAGTGAAAAGAAGAACTTATTTGCTTGCCACCAAAGAGCCTCTTGTTTCATAGCAACCTTCAACTGACACTATGACATTGCTGGTCATTGAGATATGTGTGACCGACTCACTACAGGCAGATAAAAATGTCCACAGGATCTCTATGATTTTACGTCCTATCATCTACTTTGTTTTCAGCAAGCCAAGTGTTATTACTGCCTTTCCTCCTCTGAGCCCTGGTCCAAGAGAACACCACCTCTGAACCGTTGAGTGATGTCAGGGTCCTCTCAGTAGCTCTTTGTCATGAACTTCATGCATCCTTGCCATGATGCATTTTGTTTTCCTTGCTGTGGAACAGAAACATCAGGTAGCTCTTCCCTTCCAGCACATTCACTTCTCTGAGATTTTGTTCCCATCTGCTACCATCTGCCACAGCAATACTGACATTTCTGCTTCACTCAGTGTAGACCATAGTTTTTTCCATCCATCTAATGACCATTCTAGTGGAAGGTCACACCATCTACTTGGGCACTGTCCAGGGTGTTAAATTCTGATCTCAGAACACTCTGATATCAACAACCTCTTCCTTAAGGCTATGTTTCAGCCTAAGAATCAAGCCCTGGAGAGATCCACTCTCTGGTGTATATGTCTCTTGTTGGATATCACACACTGACTTGGTGATACAGCTCCTTCTAGGTAGACCCTCCCCTCCCCTATCAGACTCAGCACCACTCCAGCTGGCATGAGAAGACTAAACTCTAGTTATTCCAAAAACTAGAGGACCACATTCATGATGAAGGCTGCATGTGGTCCTCGGATCTTCATGATGCGTGGCCTAAAGATCAAAAGGAGAGCCAGAGACACAGCCTGAGGGGGCACCTGTTGCCTTGTGGGGAAGCAACCTCCACCTTGTCTTCTATCACAGAGGGACATCAGTTCTTACTGATGAAATTGGCTCCTTATGCAGGCTGAGAAATTTCAGGCAAGTTTGGGCAGGCAAAAGCATTGGGGTAATTCACCCAAATGTCTCTATTTCATGTGCCAGGGTCCCAAGTCTTCACAACCAATGTTCTGACCTTGGTCTTAGAGATGGGCTTTGATTGGGGCATTTAAATTTCTTTGAAGTTCAGCCAGTTTTACTGTTGGATCCTTGAGGTGGTCTTGGCTTTTCTGCCTCCTTCTAGTGAAAAGGAGAACTTTGTTTGCCACCAAAGAGCATCTCTTGTTTCATAGGTGGCTTCTAATTGACCATTAGTCTCTCAGCTGTTCCTTATTTTTCTGTAGCACATCATGGTACTTAATATTATTCATGCAATGGCATTATGACTGTAGCTACCATTTTCTCCATGCCTCTCAAATACCGGGTGAATGACGGCCTGCTCGTGCAGCCTCTTCCTATGTTATACCATCAAAAGTTGCCACCAG